ATAGATGGTATGTGATAGAGTTTCACCCGTTATACGCGACTCGGTGAAAAACGCCATATTCGCGATGAAAAGCAGTAGTCGTGAAATATGTTTTTCACTAGTGTTCTCCATATCACTAGGGCGAAACTTCATTGTATAGCATGAAATTTTTTGGGCTCAGCTGTGCTGTACAGTGTGGCTCAATTTTATGTGGAGAAATGTGTGTTATTCTCGAAGATTGACGAGAATCGTTCTGGAAATATATTGAATATTTGGTGACAGTGCTATGATGTGATATAAGTAACCTTCTGAGTTGGTGATAGCGACAAGTTGTACTAACATTAATCCTGGAATAGGAAGATAGGCAGATTGGCACTGACTGTATTATGATTATATTTTATGAATACAGTACGCTGTTAATAAGTTTACTAAGTTACCACTACAGCTTGAAGTTTGGCGTCATCATGTATAGGTACACAACAACGCCTTCAAGTTGGGTCGTTGGGTTGCTAGTGCCCTTCTGGCGGGTACTAATGTTTTCAAGCTGGGCTATGTCACCCGTGCTCGCATGAATGACCCTTTTCACCATTCGCTGCTAAGTGTCCAGACATACAAGACGGAGGAGTTTGCCAAGCAAATAGGGTATGGGGTTTTTATTGATTTATATAGTACTTGAAGTAGCTCATTTCTTCAGGATGAACACCTCAAATGCATTCGGCATTGTTCAAGCTATTGTGGACTTGGTGATGCAGTATAAGGCTCCTGGAGCGGAGGAAGAGGAGGAGGACGGAGCATCGTCGTTTGCTGGGAAATTCCTGCTTCTTAAGGAGCCGTCCAAGAGCATGATCCGACTTTATGCGGTAATTATTCTGCTACTTTCTGTGTGTATTTTTGATGGTAGTCGAAATTTCCCTATCGATTAGTGATAGCATAACTGGGTAGAAAATGACAATGACGAACGAATTTACGAGATATGTATACCTACATTTTGAAGCTGGTTTTAGTTTGGGAATTGTCTTACTTCCGAATCGCTAGGCGGCTGCTGCGATTGCTTACATCTATACTCAATAGTGTTCTCGTCTGAGCTCATAGCCCCTATGTTGGCTATTGTGAATGCATATTATTTTATTACGGGAACTATTCAGGTACCATGGGAGGAGTTTGAAGAGTCGGACGAAGAGGAAGAGGAGGAATTGTCAGATGAAGAGGATGAGGAGGAAGAGTTGTAAAAGCAGACTGCTGCCCAGGACTCTTCGAAAGGCGCGATAACGATGTTGGTCAACTGTTTCTATCCAACGACATTACTAGTGTGTCGCGTTGTAGTACTGAGTAAATCAATGCACGGTTTTGGTATGTATTTTGGTTAAGTATTGCCGAATTTAGTCGACTAGGCCGAGTTGAGGTGCATGAAGATATGGGTGGGATTGTCATCGGTGCAAGTGGACGAGACAGGACTCGTATACGTGTCCTATCAGATGTCGATTTTCCAGTAGCTGGCCCTCTTCCACCGAAGAGCCTCCAGGCGAGTACTCGATCAATCTAGCGCTCCTTGTGAACTCTACTGTCCCCCCTTCTACACAAACGGTCCCAGTCGCACTATCTCTGATGACTAGGGCTTCGTGACGAAGGGGCGGAGTTCGCTCGCCCACCATGGGCCATTAAATTGACATTGATTAACAAATGGATCTCCATTGCTGTTCATCCTGATCGAATTAGTGCGATGAGTTAGAGAGGGATGCGGCTATAAGCAATTTTATCTTGCCGGAGGAACAAGGGGACATATTCGCAGATATTCGCATACCAATAATTGGATGATTTATGCGTGCGTCTCGACTAACCACGTCGTAGATACTGAATTATCAGTCTACCTAAAGCGGGCACGAATGAATTATTTTCAGTTTACGACGTGGCCCTTCCAATGGCATTGTATTTTCGTCGAGCCCGTCTGATGGGAGCATCGAGTCGAGGGACCATCCTGGCTGCCATAGACAATCGAGTCGTAGACGCTAAGTTCAAGCTCCTTGAGAGGAATCTCGCTAGAGCGGTGGACAGGACGACTATACAGCGCACAAAGCAGCTGGCTGATGCGTACTTGGACGAGTAGGATGGTCCTCTGTTCATCGCAGAGAGTGATGATTAATTGAGAAGGCTCCTGTGTGAAATCGGCCCCAGCGAAATGCCAATCCTCGAATGTGTTTGCGACACTTCAACACAAACATGCGAAAGTGGCGCTCGCTATGGATTTCAGGATTCGACGTTTTCTAACATGATTTAATTTTGCAATTGGGCACAGTTTTGCTTACATTCAGGTGTCAACTTGCGACGCATTCAAATTGAAGTTTGGTGTTCTACTCGTCTCGAAGTTGGTATTGAATATTCCTGGAAAAAGTTTTCTAAATTTCATATTGAGAATGTTTTTCCCAAATTGAAATTGGCTAGATTTTAATGCCTGATATTGAGGTTCCACCCTTGCGACTTGGGTTGCCAAGTAGTGTGGTCCCTTTTCCTAGAAATTGCGATACAATCGTCGCACGTTAACAAAATAGTGACAAATCTGTATATCTGTATCGGTATGGTTGTAGATATGACCGGGTGTGTCGAACGAATGAGTCCAAGAGTATCCTCGCTAGAATCATACGAAGTTCACAAGAACGAGCGGAAGCTCTTTTTGAGAGAGCGGTTACTTTATACCAGTCTCTGCTACATCAGTGATACAAATCCCTGCGGTCTTCGGATCTATTGGGATTCCCCCTCAGAGTTGTCGAGCCGGAAGGCCTACACGCATGTGCCGTGTCCCTACTTGAGTATAGACGGCCAGAGTTGTATCCCTATGCAGTTGGTTTTGCTCGGAAGCTCGCGCTTCACCCAGTGTGCACCGCAGAGTTCGCAACGAAGTCGCCTTTCCAAGAGAGGTAATAACAGAAATCTTCCGAGTGCGTAAGATTCACAACACATCTCCTACTTAGAGCTACTCAATATCATTATGCTACGTCGTTGGTCCTTCTGAAGCAGTCGGGCCATTGGGACTTGGCAGAAGAGGTGCTCGCGCTGTGAGGTGTATTGCTTTGCTGTATTCGATCGTCGTAGTTATTCGAAGAAGCACGCAAGTACGAGTGGAATTCCGAGTGTCCGATTGCGTGGACATCAATCCTCCAAACGCCGGCGATATTCATCCCGGATCTGCGGCCTCCACAACCATGGTGGGACGAGAGGAAAGAATTGCCTATGAACGAGGTGTCATCTGTAGGGATCGAACTCGGGTCCTTCGGGTTACCTCAGGCACTCTTAGAGAATCGGGCTAT